TTTTTTCCAGCTGGGGTCTTCAGTTGCCTGAGCCTTCGTCACCCCCCTTTAAAGCCCAGGCCACTGAAGACTGACCGCAGCTGACAAGTGTCACGTTGTGCACCAAGCTGTGTGAGTAGGGCTAAATCATCACGAGAAGGCCCGTCTGCTATGTTACTTTCTGTGGGTACTCTGGCGTACCACGGAAAAAGATTAGCCTTAAGCTCGAAATCTAAGATCCGTGACATTACGCCGTGCGCGATGCCACTAGTGGTCTGGCAGCTAATGAGTGAGTCCCTGACGGCGTTGTTATCAATGAATAAGATTATATGCTGCCCAGCAATGAATTGTTTCCACAAGTCGAATGCACACCAGACAGCAACGTACTCACATTCAAAGATTATCGTCTTCTTCTTAGCCGGATTCAAAAACATGAGGCAGTCAGAAGGCACTCGCTCAGACATGAACCTACATACCCGTCCTTGCTCATCACAAAGCACAGCGCCCAGACCCGAGTGAGGCACACCGTCGGTGGTCTCATAGCTGGCGTCAGTGAACACAAACCAAGTTCGAGAAGCTCTGGCAGAGATCTTACGAGGAATGTTGGAGTTCAACAAGCGCCGATGGGTCTCAAGGGCTGAAAGGGCAGAGTTGGAGAGCTTACTACTTACGGGACTGTAGGCATGGGACGTCAAGACTGCTAAGCACGACCTAGCTGTTCTGCCAAAGATCTGCCCAGAGGCAAACTGAAGTCGCCCCCGCAGTCTGAGTGCCTCGTGTCGCGGTAGGGAGCCTTTCTTAATGACTTTGTCGAGCGATTCGATGAGGTCCGACTTGCGCATAGGTGTGTTATCGAACAGAACGAGGCCTGATGACATGTTCGACACATCTATCATCACGCCCAGCGCCTTCATGGTGCTGGAGAAGGGCGATGCCTTATCACCGGATCGAGCGAATTTCCATCCGATCAGGTCAAACAACATGTGGATGGTGTCCGTGACGGATGAACATTCTTCTGACAGTCCGAAGGCCATGAAGTCGTCGAAATACCCACACCACAAGCTGTCAAAAAGTTCAACTCCGAGGTACCAGATGCTGTGCGCCACCCTAAGGAAGGAGTGCACTGATCTGACGCTACCGAAGGGCAGCGCGTTCATGCGAAACGCCGACAAGGTATCATCACCGGGGTTCCTAACAACAATGTGCGCAAACCGAGATGCTGATGGGTGGACGGCACACTGCCTGTAAGCACCTTTCAGATCAAAAGACCTACATTTCCACTCTGGGCTGGAGGAGGCTACTTTAGAGTTCATGAGTGCTAAGCAGAGGCTTGACACTACATCTAGATTATGTGGCTTCGGGCTCTCGGTCGTTTGAGCACATCCGTTCACACCTGACTGGGAAAAATCATCGATGTTACGAATCTTGGATCCCTGCTTGACCCCGAATCGGCGGCTCAGCGGGAGGTGGTCAGGAACAGTGTGCAGAGGCATAGGGCCTTCCAACACACCGTCGTCCACCTCCTGCAATGTTTGTTCCCAAACCGTTAGCGCAACTTCATCATCCATGCCCGCAAGTGACTTCGAGGAAAGGGCCGGTCGATCCCTGGCACTGAGTTCGAACAAATCACTCTCGGTCATCTGGGCAGGCACAAACTTAGCTGGCCACAGGCCTGTCGTCTCGGTTTCCCCCGTGAGCATGCTCCCAGCGGCGAACTCGTTGACTACTCCCATGTCGGGGTAGTCAACTGACTCCAGCATCTCCTTCCACAGTAGGATTCTTTTTCCAGCCAAAACCTTTTTGACCGAAGGTGGCATTGCTTCTTTGAACTCTCGTTCTGGCTGTACGAGCTCACGAGCTCTGCTACACCAAAAAACTCAATTTCTTGGCCCTAGCTGTACACCTTTGGCCTGGTGTTGATTGCTGAAAACGAACTATGGCCTGTCTCAAAGCTGATGGCAACATTGCATCAAGTTTGGCGGGGTGTCCATGCTTCGCTGCTTGTTCGACGAACTGGGCCTCTGTCCATGGTATGCCCCAAGTCTGGACAACAGGACTGTTATCCAGTTGGGCTTCCCTAGCTATCATCGGGACACACCTACAATCCGCAAAGACTTCACCCCCTTTAAAGATGGATTTGGGTTGGACCGAACTTAACTTGGCACCTTTCGGCAGGACTAAGGTGCCAATGGGGTTACGGAGAGTCAAAGGATGTGCCAGGGAGTGGAACAACACGGCGTGGGGAAGGTCATCGGGCAGGCCGGAAACATGGATTTTAGTAGCGTAGGTGGGCACAATAGGTGGGATCTTGGTCGCTCTAGGCTGCTGACCGGCTTGAGCTCGCATTGCGCGCAGCGCGTCAAGAGACAATGGCTGGACATCTTGAAGTGTGGAGGGTAGAGGCTGAATGCCTCTATTGCAAGCAATCAAGACGAAGCAGTTGGCAATAGCGCGTGCCAGCGGCATCGGGTACGCGGTCTCCTCTGCTGTCGCAAAGCCCCTGGGGGTGATTCCCCAGGGCAGATGCGTGTGGGATGAGCTCTGGCCCATACAAGTGATTGCGAGGCTGTTGAACTCAGGCGCGTTGTGAGCAAGCATTGTCTTCTTTTGCCTTGGGCTACCAAACATGCATGTGTGCAAGACTGTATAGCGCATGGCACCAGCGACTGTTTGCCAAAAAGACGTTGCCCAAAACAACGAATGCTGAGGATTCTCCACACACACTGGAATGTCCCTATCAATGGCCCATTGCACTACTTGAGCAGTGAAGTGATACAACTTGTTTGCAAGTGATACTTTTAATTTGTTTACCCAAGACAAACCTTGGACTCCATTCGGAGAGGCGTCCGTCCTGAGGGGCGAAGGCCCGAAGGCCTGCTGATGGGTTCTCTTTAGAGGGATTTGCCTAGCCCTGGATGCAGTTCCGCAAGGTGGTGCCAAGAAAATTCCTACAACATATTTACTCTGAAGCCAGGTCCAAAACAACTTTTGGCCCTTTGGGCTGCTCAAGTCACTGATGGAAACTGGCGCACATGCCTGTCTGTGCCGAATGTGATCGACTCCAAAGGAACTGACCATGCCAAGCTGCCTTAAACATGCACTAACTCTGGCTGTCCCTGCGAAGATCTCAATCACGAAGCACTGTGAAACATCTATGCTCTCTGCTGCCAGTAGTTCAAAGTGACCACCTAGTCACTCCTTGTCAGCTACATTGTGTTGCGATACCGGGTGTGGGGCGTGACAGCCTTTGCGCACGCAAAAGTGGTGGCCCCTGTTGCACTGACCTCCGTCCGGTGCGTCCTGGCATTTGCCCATATTGTAGTTGAAACACAACCGGCGCTGATGAACATCTGTCGAGACATTATCCTTGTGCTGCAGCTCCTTGGGAAGCAGGTTGGGTCTGTCCTTGCTCTTGTGTTTGCTCTTTCCTTTGCCTTTGCCTTTGGTGTACGGCTGATCGCGATGACCATCTGCATGCCCTCTTGTCCACCAATGATCACCTTTCTCACCTTGGCCTTTGGGCCAGCCACGATCGCCCTTACCGGCGGGCTTGGGCAGCGGCAACAAATGGAAGCCGACATCATAGGAGGACAACGCCGCCAACAGCTGATTGTCGAGAGCCAACACATTCATGGAGTCTCGCCTCACTGGAACATCATCTTGAATCAACTTCATGAAGGTCTGACGGTCGGCCTTGGGCACTTGCTGGAGTGTGGGCTTGTTATAGCCAGCCGGAGGGTCATTCCTCAGGTGACTGAACAAGCTCTGTAGGTACCGTTCGTGTGTCTGCCAGCTGATCACATCTGCGAAGGCGTAAGCAATCCCTCTCCTCCTCAACGCCTCGAAGACCAACATCTCAGTGCCTGCGAACTGGTCAGGCGTCGTCTTCGACTCCTTCACAACCATCTTGTCGGCGTCCAGAGAGATTTGCCTTGACGATTTGGACATTGTCACTTCAAATTCTCTACTCGAGCACTTTTCCGGCGTCAGATATCTGAGTTGCCTTGATTCCCACTGCTGCACAACGCTGTCCAGGAGTTCGTAGCTAGGTTCGAGTTGTCTCTCTATCACAACTCCTGTCAACCTTGCCTTCAGCTGACGCATCTTTGCCTCACGCTCCACGGGCGGGAGTTTGCGTGTCGTTGGTGCATCCGGGTTGGTAACGGTTTCCCGCAGCTGCGCTAAGGTCAATGTATGCGCCTCGAACAGAAGCCGTTTCAACACCGAGATGTCGCTCAACGAAGCCAGTGCACCCAAGGTGTTCTGCGCAAACGTTTGGAATTCTGCATCAATGAGTGGTGTGCCCGGCTGGCCGCACGCAAAACCCAGTTGCCCCAGAGTTTTGTAAAGAGCTAAGAGGTTTGCCTTTGACGTGGCGCTGAGCCCGGTCTCATCGCACCTTCTCGACAGGTGTGCCTCTGAATCGACCACACTAGTCATGGCGTCGATTGCACGTGGCGATGTAGCATGCGGCGGTGTAGATTAGGCTTGAAACAAAGTAAGGGGTGCTTGACATCCTGGGTGGCGGTTGGCTAACTCACGCTCGCCTGACATGCAAAGAGAAAGACACGCAAGTGAGTTGAAAACACCTAGTTACTAGAAAACCGAAAGCATCGTGTGATTCATAATGTAAAACAT